TGCAATTGTTATACAGGGTGATTTATATCAATGTTGCATTTTTTTAAATGGAACCCCCTATACCTATATTATTACATAATTCGATTCCTTGGTCAATTTGTGTGACTTTATGTATTACACATGATATCTAAAATGAGTCATTTAGCCGCAATTGGTCGTTTTTTAAAAAGTAGATGTCCAATATAAATTCAATATCGCAGTTATCATTAAACTGAGAAGGCCGTGACTTGGCAGCATTACTATATAATCATGAAATGTACTAAGTAACATACGCCGAACGGTTAAAGTTAAATTTCTTTTGTGTTAAAAGAAATCACTCCGTCAATTTTCAAAATTTCAATCAAAGGTAACTTGATTTTTTTCAATGGAACTACCAAGTTTTTTTTATCGCATCAAACTGTAGGATGTTATTACCTTTTTAACAATATAAGCATGTCAATATTTATCTTTTAAGTACATATTATTCAACAATTCAGTGTTTTTCGATTTTCAAAGCCTCTCAGAAATTAGTAGGCCGTAGGAACTTCCATTCCATGGTTTTGTATCGATATGAAGAGAAACTGGGGCGTCTTAACTATATGTCGTTGGAAATGTTTCGACGACTTCCATCTAAAATATTTAGTGCTATTTGAGTGCTAAAATATTCACCTTTTCTCCCTCTGCACAATGTTTTCACCTCTAAGTGCTATAGACACCTCGAAAATTTCAAATGGTACGATAGGGAAATCATTTAAAGTGCCGACATGCGCAGTGTCAATTTTTTGAATTGAGAGGCGATTTCCCTGGAGCACTTTTAAGCTCTTAAAGTTCAGAGTATGGTTATTAAGTGCGCCGGAACAATGAAATCAGTAAAGTTTGCAAAGGTTTCCAAAGTCTCTCAAGTTTGGCGAGTCTGGTATATTATGTCTTGAGCGTCTAAACATTTTGAATTTCATGAGTCGGTAGTTTTTGGATTCTTTGGAAACAACTGGGCCCTCAATATTATTTCGAAATTTTCGAAGACCGTCGGGATTTTCAAGTATCTTTGTGCCTCTTGATGATGTCGTATTTTCCCCCTGATGCGCTTCCAAAGGAAAACTTCCTCGTTTAGATCTCGGATAAACATTTCTGATGAATTTTTTTTTTTTAATTAAAGTTCTTTTTCTATTTCAGCTAAAATACTTATAACAAAATAAAATAAGAATCGAAAACAACTTAAATTTAATCAGTCGTCGTATGAGATAGGGATTGGGGGACGATGGATCAATGTTCGCACTTCGGAACAAGTCATCAGGAGAAAGGAGCCCGAAGGGACTCTCATTCGCTCGCTTGGGCCCTGGCGTTTATAAGAAGGTATTAACATTTTCTGTTCTAGACTTATCCCATGGACCGACGATAGACGAACAAAGCACAAAGGTATGAATACAATAAGGACCTGTCGAATGCTTAATAGCTAATCAGTGAAGCCAACCAGTGGCGTACGTAGAAATGTATTCTGGGGGGATTAAACAAGTTCGTGGCACGTACAGTCACCCAGTGCGTACTAGAAGGGGGAGGGGGGGGGGTAAGAAATAGAAATTGGGTTGCAGGTTGCTGATGCTGGTAGTAATTTATCTATTTATTATTGTACAGGCGAAAAAGATTAGATTAGAACGGTACCTATTTTATTTCTTACTGCTGACAGGCCCCTTTATTGCTTTTGCTTTAATTAGTCAACGAAAACTTTGATAAATAGGTATATTTATGGGCAAAAAACCAATTTCGACAAAAAATTCAAAGGGCTGTAACTTTTGAACTAGTAGTCCGATCTTGGAACTGTTTGAAATTATGGATTCTACAGGCCACATTCTATAAGAAAATATTTTTTTCCGGTCAATCTGAGACAATTTTTTTTCTGGGCAAAAAAAAGGCAAGTGTATTTACCTTCCTTTTTTCCCAAAAATCGACTGCACCAAAATTTCTCGGGAAAAAACTTTTTCTTATTAATTTGGGTGCGTAGAATCCAAAACGATTCGTACTTTTTCGATTAGACGTCTCAATCAAAAGTTATGGGCAAAAAATTCCTGTTTTTAAAATTTAAAATTCTTATTTTCGTCATTTCGTGAAAGGCAGGACGCAGGTACAAAGTACCTGATACCTATTTGTTATTTTGAGCATCAATGTAGCGAATTGCCGATCGATGCCGAATAGCCAAATCGTTGACTGCCAACACTGATCACTCACTGAATAGTGAATACTGAATACTACAGAATATTTAGATTTTAGTGACTTTAGACTTTAACCAAAACCAAAATTGCGCTCTATATATACCTATATATTATTGCCTTTATTTTAAAGTGGGCGGAGCGGATAGCGGAGTATTACCTAAATACCTAACAGCTATGATGATAACTCAATTCTTCTGGGGGGGATATATCCCCTTCATCCCCCCCTGTAAATACGCCACTGAAGCCAACATTTAATTACTGGTTTAGAGTTGAAATTCTTTATTTCTTAAATATAGTTAGTTAATGCGCCGTGTGGTACACCGACATTCCATAACGCAGTGTACGGTTGGTGGCCTATCATCTGCAGTAAAAACTACCATCAAACCTGGTGATCACGTATGCATCAGATAGGCAATACACAATACTACCCAAAACGACAAATTGTGCAGTGTTCGGTCTGGGATGGGAATTAATGTTACCCACTTTAGCAAATATAGTTTATCGCCACAGATTAACTTATGGCTAATAGAATAAGATGATTAAAAAACCAAACAACAATTGCAAAGGACGATACATTTATTAAGTAGGTATACAGTGTGTCCCAGATCGCGTGGGATTGCATGGGTAACTTTGTTATTATTAAAGATAGAGAATTGGTTAAATGGGCAATGTTTTGCAGTTTTGGTTTGGATGCTTATTTAAAATTTCCTTTTGGAAATTCAAAATGTCGCATAGTTTCGACGTAAATTAAAAAAAAACTAAAATTGGTCATTTCCTTAAATGTCTTATATCATCGAAGGTATAAGAGATATAAAAAAAAGTTTTATATAAAAGTGGCTGTCTTTGATACACTTAATTTAGAATTGATGTCAAAAAAAAATGCAAGATGGCTACTTTTGAGGAACATTTACCAACTTTCTAAAGTTAAATAGGCGCTATATCGGATTTTTAGATTACTTAATAGATTTTTTAATTCTCTTTTCAACGAGACATCATAACATAAGATTGAAAATAAGATACCAGTTATATCAACGGTTTTTATATTTTAATCAAGTAGGCTGTGATGAATTAAAAAAAAAACAAAACAAAATCTATTCGAGCCAACAAAACAATGAAAATAATTACATTAGATGTTTAAAAAATGAGAGGGGATTTGGGCATTACAACTCCCTCCAAATTTTTATATATGTAGGCCTAGAAAAATTTTGATTTTTATAACATCACTTATTGACTATCTTATTATCCATACCATAGAGTAATTTACTCTATGTCCATACTTACATACCTACAAATGGTGGTATTTATTATTATTATTATTTATTATTTATTATCCCTCTCTTGTTTTGGGCCCTCAACAGGCATGCGCCCAATTACAGAGTGACCCGCATAATGCTATTTAGAGGTGTTATAACTGCGGAATTGGATCGGTAATCTTCGTTGGATCTTTAACTGCTCACTATGATTTACAAATTCTCGAATAAACTTCCTTAAAGGATTTTTCTAGACAACGTATGTTTCGAAGAAAGGGTTGGTTTATGCTACCAACACTGGCTGCTCAAGTCACAATTCACGAATTATGCACAGTACATTAAATTATAAAAGTAAGTACTTTATTAAAAAATAAAAGGAAAGTGGAAGTAGCTACCACTACAATAATAATAATAATCATCAATGGCAACACGTTGCCTAAACTGAACTGTCTTGAAGTGTGTTTCACTAATAATGGCCAGTATTTTAAACATTTGGTGTAATTATTTTCATTGTTTTGTTGCCTCGAATAGATTTTGTTTTGTATTTTTTTATTCGTCACAGACCTACTCTTGATTAAAATACAAAAACCGTTAATATAACTGGTATCTTATTTTCAATCTTATGTTATAATAGCTCGTTGAAAAGAGAATTAAAAAATCTATCAAGTAATCTAAAAATCCAATATGGCGCCCATTTAACTTCAGGAAGTTGGTAAATGTTCCTCAAAAGTGGCCATCTTGAATTTTTCTTTTTGCATCAATTCTAAATTAAGCGTATCAAAGACAGTCACTTTTATATAAAACTTTTTTTATATCTCTTATACTTTCAATGATATAAGACATTCAAGGAAATGAGCAATTTTAGTTTTTTTGAATTTACGTCGAACCTATGCGACATTTTGAATTTCCATAAGAAAATTTTAAATAAGCATCCAAAACTGCAAAACATTGCCCATTTAACCATAATTCTCTATCTTTAATAATAACAAAGTTACCCATGCAATTCCAAACGATCTGGGACACACTGTATAGTGTGAGCATACTGCAGCCTAGATATAGGTACTGACGCAATTACTAATCCAGCTTTACCCTGTATAATGTATATCACAACAAAACAAAAATGTTCCTCGTCTACACACGGTATTCAACTTATAAACCTGGCCGCACACCTAAATAAACAGCTGGAGCTCGTGCAAAACACGTCCGTCGCGCGTGAATCCAATTAAATAATTGATTTTATAGGTTTCAAGTTATTCCGAACAATGCGTTTATATAAGCTAACAAATACAGGTATTATTTGATATTTATTATTAAGAAGTAGACATAGGAATTTACGTGTATTGTTTTTCCCTATGTCTACTTTTAAATGACAAAATCTATTTTGAATGGCGCCTACTTTTACGCAACCAAAAGAACTTCTTAAATTAATGTTTTTCCTAGTGTTTAAAATTACGTATTTGTGTATATTTTGTATTTCTTTATATAATTTGTAAGCATTTTCATTGTAAGTAGTCAAATTGGCGTTTTTTTATCTTTCTAATTATACCTAAAAAGGAGTAGGGCAATAGACATTTGATACTATTCGATGATTGAAATTTATCATGAAACTGATACAAGAAAAGGTATTTACAATGTTAACATTTACTGAATTGGTTCCCACTTGACAGTCTTGTTTTTCTTAAATTCTTCATGGGCCGTATTATCTAATAGCTTCACCTAAAATTATAAATTGAGCACCTTAAAGTATAGGCGAGGAGTTAACCACACCTGGGAATATCTGGACATTTTACAGGGAATGACACAGGAATAATGGGAATAACAATAAATAGTCTGATATGCGATCCTACATCTAATTTGCATTTTTTGTCCAAGTGCCTCCAGTGGGAGTTTTAAGGGGTATAAGTGTTTAAGTTTTGTAAAGTAAAAATGATGTGCATTGTGTATTTATTCATTCAAATCAAAATCAAACAAATATGTATTGTGCACCAGTCTTGGGTAGACAAAGTGCATATCTCAGTAAATAATTGGGTTACAACTAGGTAGTAGTAGTAGCATTATGCTATATTTATGGATGTTTACCTTCTTGGTACATCATTAAAGGGGAGGGATCCTTACACATAAACATGTAAGAGTCGCCTGGAACACATTCAAAATGTACAGTATAGAATAGAAGGCGATTGACCCCTTAAAGAAATCCTCCGCAGTATTTCATTTTTCCTTTCATATCGCCAGTAGATATGTGTCCTTTAGAGGTTCTAAGCGCCCTAAGAATACCCTCCTCTCCTCCCACACTCCATTTTGACATGGTACCAGTAGATGTGTCTCCTCCAGACGTTCCATTTGCCCCTTATGATTGAGTACCCTCTTCCGCACCTTCGTTTTCGAGGTATGCGTTTCCGCCTCAACGATAGATATGTCTCGTCCAGACGATTCAATTTGCCTTTGTGAGTACTCTCCTCTGAAAAGGAGTCACGAAGAAAAGCTATAGTTTGAATAAACCAATTGCTTTCGACAGGACCGTTCCTTCAATGTATAGGTTACCTACTGCAAAAAATTTCAGGACAATTCCCCAAATACTAGCTCAAACCCGCAGTAGATCTAGATGGACGGACAAAACACAAACAAAAGCAACTGTTTTTAAATTCCGGCCAAAATCAATAATCAAAAATTATCAGTCAACCGACCGGACAATTGAATATAACAAACTTGTATTTGATAATTACATTACAGAGTTTTGTGCCGGAAAATAATGAGATGATAAAAAACCAAGATCAAGTTATTGAGATTTTAATTTACGCAATTCAAAGGTCAGCCCTAGTGACAAGCATCAAACGAAAATTCAATGCATTATGTGTAGTTGTAAATCTTCAGGATACTCTGTTCAAAATTAAAAAGAGGTTTATTTGGAAAAAGTGCTGGTTTTGATCCCCTCTACCACCTAATTTTTTTTACGTACTTATGTAACACCCTGTATAAAACAAAGTCGTGTACGTTACACCACTTATAACTCAAGAACGGCTGGACTGATTTTCATGATCTTCGATTTGTTGAATTCGTCTCCAATCCGAATAGCACATTAGCTATTAAAGTATAGAAAAAAGAACACAAAAATATAAAAACAATTATTACAAAAGTAAATAAGAGAACTAATGACAACAACCATCAAAACAAATGTTTTCAATCTTATCAACCTAAAAATAATTAATAAACGCTTGCCCCTTACAAATAGGCAATACTTCAAGATTTAAGGTCCACTCGCCGCATTCCCGCGTCGGTTTGAGTGGACCTTTAAAGTGCACACATTGGAATTTTGCAATAGAACTTCAACATATTCTGAAATGAGGACATATAAGTCTTAAAAGGCTTTAAAATGTACACAGTGTGATTATACAACGAACTACTGTACCCACAAAGCCAGTTGGCTCCTCCTGTACACTCGAAATTAGTCATATGCGCATAGCCCGTTGTAGACTACTTATGTGCCGGTACATAAACTTAAGTAAGCATGTGTTAACTTATCAATCTTTCAATATTTAAAATGTGCACAGTGTAATTTTGCAATACGTCACCACCATGTCCCGGAACGACATCTCTTAACTTACAAAACATAGGGATTCCCTATGTCTACTTTTACATGATAAAAAGTCTCCTGAAAGACGCCCAATTTTATGCAACCAAAGTAACTACCTTCAACAAATGAGGATCTGCCTGTCATATTAATTACTTTGAATATTATCGCTTTGACTTCGCTATTTTAATTTCGGTTCGTGTGCGATGTATTCAACTAAAGAAAAAGTTGATCTTTCCAATTGTTTTCTGTAAACCAACAATATTCAACTTAATAATTAATGTGACAGTCAGATCTTTATTTGTTTCAAGAAGTTATTTTGGTTGCATAAAATTGGGCGTCCGCCAGGAGACTTTTTATCATGCAAAAGTTTAAGATAAGAGGGCCACCTCAATATTTCTTTTATTTGGCAAGTTACAAAAACAAGTTGTAAATCAGCATATGCATGATTAAAGCGCATTTTTGGTAATGCAGGTCAGTATTTTATTAGCGAAGTTTAAAATTATCGATCTCACGAGTAATTTTGGCTGCGTTAAATAATTAATTTTATTTAATTTCAATTGACGGTACGTCTTCATTTTGTAAAACAAATCACAAAGTAAATAATAAGTTTTTATACTGGTAGCGCTATCTAACGGTAAAATTATAGCACCTCCGAAACCCATATCGAAATTATTTTCTTCAATTATCGATCTCACAAGTAATCTAACTCAAAATAGACTAGTGCCTGCACATCTACACTATAGCAGAAAGCTTTTAGTGAAAATTTGAAGTCTCTAGCTATTGTAGTTGTGGAGATCTAATGCGGACAGCCGGCCTGCCAGCAATAACGAATATAATAGCGTATTTTTTTCAAAAATGCGCTAAAAATGGTCAAATATAATTTCATATGTGACATTCTACAGTCTAGCCGATCGAAGAATAACACTTCCGGTAGCAGTTCCGGTTGAACCGGAAATTGATACAACTTTTGTTTTTCAAAAGGAATGTCTATGCTCTTTTTAAATTTTAAATATTTGACATGAGCAATCAATTTGCTGTATGACAACATAAACTATGCATAATCCAATATTGCATTTTATACATTAAAATGTTTTTATTGTAGGCATCTAGATCTCCATGGCGAACAAAAGATGGCAGGATTGTGTAGAAATTTTGAACAAAACAAAGGGGTGAGAAGGAGGGGGCGTAAACGGTTACAAGAATTTCGGACTTTACCTTCATTGTCATTATGTCATTTTAGATTGTACCTCAAATTATACAAAATATTATCATTTTGTAATATCAATTAAACGTTTTGTTTCTTCTGGCTGTTTTGGCTCTTTCATTGGTTTTAAATAGTTTGAAAAAAGAAATTTGACATTTGCCATTTTCGGAATTAATTACATAATTACCCAACCCTCAAAAGACAATAATGTAGCACAGCAATATTTTCCAAAACTCTTTAAATAAATTCCAATTTTTAAAATGCCATTTTGTTGGGCATAATTATAATTACACGCAACCTTGCCCTAACTTTAATATAAAGGTCAGACCGCACTAGGCGGAAATGCACTGCAACGAAGCGACGTGACGCTACACTACATTATATGGGTATCACATTTTAGCTGCGATATTTTTGTTCAACAGTCATAAGGTGTCTTTTGAGGAAGATGGCTGAAATTAAATTAATTTTTCCTCGTCAATGAGCAAAAGCAGACTAAAGAGTCTTGCAAAGTTTTCCATATAGAGAAAGAAACCTCCCTAGAAATCAATGTGTGGAAGTAGTAGACAAATTTAGTGAATAAAGGCATGTCGTCATGAGTACAGGGGGTTCCAAATTGCTTGTTTTCGAAATTTTTGGAGGATATTTTGAGCAAACTTTAGTGCTAAACAGGCTATGGAAAATATACAAATACCCCCCTTACTAAGACACTATTTTTACATAACGTCTATTCATTACACCTTTCAAGCTGTGGGCGAAGAAGGGGGGGGGCATATATGAGGGCGTAATTTTTTTGGGCCGCCCCGGGCAGCAGTCTCCGCCACTGGATCTGTCTAGTGCGGTCTTACCTTTAACCCTCAGTCTCATAAGGTTTTTCCGTTTTCAGTGAGTAGGCCTGTATAATTTTTAACTGCCACAGGAGACATTTTCCGAATTAACAATTTTTGAAACACTTTCATCTTGCCAGAAAGTTAGTCCTTTGCTTCGCTTAATAAAAGTAGCATAATACAATGTAATAAATAGTCCAGGAAATAGAGACTGAAAATGGACCATTTCCTGCAAAACGAGAAGTAGTTCCAATTTTTTTTGCATGTCATGAAAGAATATCTGGTGGTTAAGAATCCAAGTTTTCGACCTCCCACCCCCTGTGCTTCCCCCGTACCACCCTTAAAACCAAAGAAATTTGGTTGGTTTTTTAGTTTTTCAATCATATCTTTTTATAGATTCATTTTACAAAAAAATATTGTTATCAGAAATTGTAGACTATAAAATTCTACACAACTTTCATATACACTACTTTTTTGTGAAATGTTTATTAAAAAAGATATAGAGCTTGAGAGTTGGTTATATTTTTAAGAATTCTGAAATTTCTATGTAGATGTTTTAACCAAATTTTATACTTTATCTCTATAATTAAGAGTTTTATGAGAAAATATCTTGAACTTATCGTGGTATAAATCCCCCTACGCTGCACCCTTACCAAAGGGGATGCATAATAATTCAACTTTCAACCCTTGCTAGTGGGGATATTTGAATCACTGTGAGATTGTAGGGTTTCTAATATACGTTTGAAACAAAAAAATTATCTCACTTCAGTTCAGCTTCATCCTTCAAATCCTTCATCCCCCCCCGCCCCTCCCCCCAACCGCGGTAGGAATAGATATTTAAAGAGGAATAGAAAACATGTAATAAGCGTTGTACTCTCTGACTAACTTCACAATCGCCACAAGAGCGTTTAAATATCTATTCCTACCGCGCGGGGGGGAGAGGGAGGGGGTGAAACTGAACTGAAGTGAGACAATTTTTTAATTTCAAAAGTATATTAGAAAGCGCTACAATCTCACAGTGATTCAAATATCCTCACTAGCAAGGGTTGCAAGTTTCATTATTATGCATCCCCTTTGGTAAGGGTGCAGAGTAGAGGGATTTATACCACAATAAATTCAAGATATTTTGTCGTAAAAAAAATTTTTAATTATAGAGATAAAGTATGAAATTTTGTTAAAACATCTACATAGAAATTTCAGAATTCTGAAAAATATAACCAACCCTCAAGCTCTATATCTATTTTAATAAACATTTCACAAAAAAGTAGTGTGCATAAAAGTTGTGTAGAATTTTATAGTCCACAATTTCTGATAACAATATTTTTTTCTAAAGTGAACCATTAAAAAGACATGATTGAAAAACTAAGAAACCACCCAAATTTCAGGGGTTTTGGGGGTGGTACGGGGGAAGCACAAGGGGTGGGAGGTAAAAAAATTAGATTCTTAACCACCAGATGACTGTCTATGGCATGCAAAAGAAATTGGAACTACTTCTCAATTTGCAAGTTAAAACCCTCTATTCCCTGGACTAAAATAGGTAGGAATACTTATAATTCGGGGAATACTTAGGGGAATTACCTGGGAATAATGGGGAAATATCCGGGAATATTAAAGAATACTTGGAAGTATTCCCAAATACGGAATGGTTGACCCCTCGGGCATATGCAATTTGTACCTGTCTCCTAATATATTTAACGAGCACATCCAAACATTCAGGATCAACAGTTCCTTGTTGGTAGAGCCGCCTCCAAAGAGCCCCCGCTAAAACGACGTCGCTAGTCTGGAGACCCTCGTCATACGCAATTATAGCGGCTCGAAGTTGATCTGACAGCTCGATAATTTGCGCTCTTACCGTTGACAAGCGAGCCTCCTAAGAGAAGCCTATTATACGGACATTGACATTATATTCATGTAGCACTTACGCCCAGTTTCTTTACTCTCTGATCTACATCGGCCCATAACACTTCCAAAATGGTATTACGTAGACACTCGCCGTCTTCGCCTTCCGCCATGAACCGCACCATCAGCATCCAAAGGTACAGCTCGGTGACAACAAACCACGAATAAAACGTGTCGGGCAGCTTTAACGTCTTGAATATCTCCGCGTAGTCTATATGGTCTACAATTGATTCAAATAACAAATACGCGAGAACCCTCGATCGCTAAAATGTAGCGTGAAATGTCGATTATGGTCTGTATTACTTACACTTTTCGATAGACTAAATTTGTTCGCTATGTTCGCTGTTAAGGTTTTAAAGTTGTAAGAACGCTGTGTATCGGTTGTGGACACTGGGCGACAAAGGTACTGTGGACGGGTCATGTGTAGGATTCTTGCGGTCGATCTGCAATTGTGTGACAACTATAAAAAAATATTAATTTTTAGTGTAATAACTGAAACACATACTCTGCTATTCAAAATAAGGCGCCGTATACAATTCATCTTTGGTAATTTTTGAAAATTGTGTAATAATTGTAAGGTTAAAAAACAGTAGCTAGTGCCATCTGTGGAGAAAGTTATTTTTTCCATATTGAATACTAAATAAATACATTTGGTACTTGGTGTGATTGCATTTCACCTCAGAATACATAGCTGTACTGGATAATTTTGTATTTCTACGGATAGAAGGATGTCAGTGGAAGACAGGCATATGCATCACTCGACCATCTAGTGTTTCTTACCGATGCTAGAATAGGGAGAGACTTCGATAGAATTTGTCTTGCTAGCAGTGCACGGAGCTAGCTGTTGGCATTTCCATGAAGTGCTCATCACGCTACATAAGATCGCTGCGTAAACATTACCTGCTCGCACTTGCACTACCTAGTCTTAGTAAGTTATAGGTACTGTGACAGTTTGCTGGTCTTTCTTAGTTACAATCTCAAATAAATTAAGTTCGAATTTATTAGGCATTCTCTTGCATAAATATGACAGTTATGGTGAACCAAAATGGACTGGTTGGTTAATGCCAATTGCTTGTGATTTAAGAGAATTCCTACAATTCTGACCTCATAATTTTGTGTAATCGAATATTGTGTAGGATAGCCTAGGATATTGACAACTTTTTACATTGCGGTCTACTTCAATAAAATGACAACAAGAGCAGCGTTGAAGAATAAAACCAAAAAACCTTTGGAAACCACTTTGGGTAAAGCCTCAACGAGCAGTCACGAAGAAATTGATCTTTCGCACGTTGGGAAGACAATTCACACTAGTCTGTTTGGTTTAAGGCAAGTGTTAGCGCTCTTCGAAACTGCAACTGAAGAAGTTTGTATCAATCATTGTCGTAATTGGATTGGTAACGATTAATTTGCAGGTACAAGCATATATAACGTACGAATGTGACATTATGTACGAATGTCGAATATGTCGTACCATTTTCAGAAGTTTGGCTAACTTTATTTTACATAAACGAAAGTACTGCCAGGATTCGTACAAGAAGACGAAACGGTTTGATTTCCGCGAACAGTTTTCGGTATGTATTTTGCTGAGGCCTCAAATTTTGTGCCATTAATGCGGCATTAGGTACCCAAAATGTACTAGGAAGCATAATGCAAGGTAATTCCTAATAATACTGGTCAGTAAATGTGCAGTATGCTGAGGGACTAAATTTCTTTTTCTATCCCTTCGAGGAATTATTTTCCCAGCCAAAAATGAGAGGGAAATATTCCCATCCGTAAACGCCCCATTAGCAGACACCTTCAGTTTTTTCAGATCTTGGAAGTTTGCCACTTTCATTGCCAACAATTAGGCCACTGTCAGCAACCCACATAGCATTCGAAATCTGATGTGTATACCTTTTAAATTCAAAATGTATAGAGAATATCCTGTCCATATGTATATACTAGGTATATACATTCATTATGGACATATGTATTTTATGTCCACTATGGATATTCTGTAAATTTTGGATGTGATATGGATGTTTAGGCACACAAAGTATAAAACATATACATTATACATCTAAAATATATGTACGTATAGTATGTAAGTATCTTTTATGTATATTAAAAGTACACCTGATCATATACCCGATATCTCCTCGTGATGATATTCCATGTATACAGGGTGGTCACTTGACGAACGCACCATAGGAATTTCAATAGTAATTTTTCAATTCTCTAATTGTTTTAGAAATAAAGTCTATTTAGGTTTTTTGTAGGGAACATTAACGAAAATTACGAATCCACATATACTATTATTTCCTATTTCATAAATTCAGAAACTGTAAAATATAAAGTCTGTAATGCCATGGAATTATCAAAACAAAAAAAAGGCGCCTGCATTTGCCATTGGTTAGCTTTGTTTGTTCTCAAACTTCCATGGCACCACTGATTTTCTTAAAAGTGCCAGTTTTAGTTATCCAATTTCTTGATTTCAAAAGTTAAAAAAATTAAAAGCTATAGTATTCCTGGATTCTCTACAAAAAACCTAAGTAGACTTTATCTCTATCTCTCATGATCGTTTCACTTCAGGTTTTACCAGATGAGAATAGCAACTTTCTGATTTTAAATAGAACAAGATTTTCTAAAATTGTGACTGTTATATGCATAATTTTCTTAGGAGTTAGGAGACCTTGAAATAAACGCGTTAGTAGATCCTTGGAATCGTTACCTGGGGAAAACTACTGGTTTCAACTGGACGGAGCGCCGGCTCATTCTACCCATGATGCTGATATGCCTTTGAACATGTTTCAAGACAGGTAGATTAACAGATACATGCTATTGGTCTTCTAGATCTCCAGATATAACACCACTGGACTTTTATATGGGGGTCTTATAAAAAACAAAGTTACACCAATTGTTTCTCGTAAAGAACTGGAAGTTAGGGTGAGAAGAGCTTTTGATGCAGAATTTTTTCGACATTTGAAAGTGCACAAAATCAAGCAGGTTGAATTTGAAAAAATTAACTTTTTAAATTTCGAAGTTACTAAACTTGACCATTAATTTTAAGATACCCTGTAGAAGGGCGGTCAAAATTTAAATCACTCGAATGTAGCAATCACGTCAGTATTGTTGATTTTGGAAGACTTTTTGAAATTCAAGTCAACGGAGCTATAGGTACGTACAGGGCGCTAAAGAAAAGCAATGAAAAATTTAAATTTAAACAATATTCCTTCCGCATATTCACATATTTTTGGAATATTATAACAACATTCATGTTCTGTGAATATTTCCTGAATCCCAAATATCCTCTTCAAATATTCTAAGGAGCATATTTTATAGGATATTCCTCATTGAATATTCTCTATATATTTCCAGTATGATCTTGCAGCATGAATTGGGTATTGATGCAAATCTAAACAGGCGCGGATTTAAAGGGGGTGCGCGCCCCCTCCTAGACAGTGGTAGTTACGCAGGCGGTTATCATGGGAATTTCGGAAACCATAGAAGGATAAGGAGATAGTCAAATATTGGAGACAAGAAATTTGTTGATTTCGTTTTTATTTTTTTCTGATGTTATTTGAGCAGATACAAAAGAAAATATTTTCTCATTGTCATTTATTGAGTTTTACAAGAGACGTTGAGAGTTTCATTTCGGAGAAATCATTACCAACTTAATTTTTTATATGGCAAAAAGCAGATACTATGTTGAGTAGTATTTTTTCTTACGATTAAAACGAGGGCCGGCACACAAATAAGAAAACAAAAGTTGGAAACTGTTGGTTTCAACAAAATGGTGTACCTGCGCGCAATGCCCTAATCGTGTAAGAATACCTATTGGACAAATTTCGTAGAAAATGGAAAAAATCGATTTGCGCCGACAAAAAGAAAGCTCGACTTTGTCATTTAGACAGTTTCTGATTTGTTCTTTTCTTAGTTTATGAAGAATTAGTTGTTTGCTCAATATATTATGTATTATGCCAAAAATGTTCTATTTTATACGTATTATAAATTTTTTTTAATATATTCACTTTATGCGCCCCTCCCTAGACCAAATCCTAAAGCCGCCACTGAATCTGAAACAAATGCACTCAACGGTGATATCCTATAGGCAGTTTCTAGAATAGGTATCACTGCTGGATTCAACTGTTTTGGCCGTTTTCCAATAGCGCCGCCGAGTGAAAAGTTTCGTAAGCAGATAAGCTTCTTGTTCATTTGGGTTAAGTGGAAGAACACGGAAAAAAATTTTTTTTTGTGAACTTCGACCTTTGGGCATTTAACTATATGAACTACTGATTTTTGTATAGCCATTTTTTCCTCACTTTTTTGTTGTTCCATCAGTTGATCATATTTGTAAAATACCCAAATCAGGACATTATTATTATCTAAAGGCACACACTCAATTCTAATTTAACCAGAAGGATGAACTTGAACGCTTTGATTATCCACTTTCAACACAGGAATATTTCCAAGTGAGAATCGACCTTTATTATGCGGAAAATAATTTATCATGGCATAACGCATCGTACTTCATAGTAGTTCTGCATAATGCCGCATCGTAATTTCGTCTAATGATGGTACCTTATATTTCGCAGTCCTAACATGCAATTTTCAGGAAGCCGATTTACTCATCATAAACGAGAAGTCTGAAGAGAGTAAAACAATAAATCAAGAAGATAAATCACCTAGTTGCATACAAAAACCAGACAGTATCTTGAAAGGGGTGCAAAGTAAAAAAACGCTATCCAATATCTTACCGCGTCTCATCAATAAACAAGAAAATACTTTAATTACCGAAGAATGTTTAGCTGAAGATAATCCACAGGAGTCTAAACGTTTGGATGAAGAAAATAAACGTAATATTGCTTTAGAAAGCGCGAACAAATCTGGTGTCTTTCAAACTATGTACGACTCCAAGGATGATAAACTAGATTTTATGAAAACTGAAGTAAGTATTCGTGACATTATATTTTTTCTGTCCAGTTAGAATTATAGTAGCGATAAATTCAAAGCTGAAAATGATTGTCGTTAACTTTTACTAAGAGAAATTCACCAATAGCCGGCAATTGTTGTGGTAAGAATAGACATATATAATAGGTGCAAGGTAAATAAAAGAGTAGAGGAGGTGGTAGTGCGAGTTTGACTCTCAAGTCCCCTCCTTGAGACGACTTAGTCTTGTACCTGGGGGTCATAACAACCTGAATCTCCTTTTTGGCTAAGTAATTCTACAGGCCAGTTCAGGCCCTATGAATGGTTTCGCGCTTTCGCAAGTCTGTCTCCCACCTGGTTGCCTGTGATTCCCGCGTGCCCACACTAGTGTTACATCTTCCTCGACTGAAAACTAAAAAAAATGCAGGCAGTCTTTTGAATGACAAGAATTCGGTTAAACACATGATAAAATTGAATCAAAATCATTTATCGGCGTATAAGTTGTGATGGAACCGAATTAGCCCGCCAAAATTCGATTTAAATATTCCCGAATCCGAGCCTGGCGCGACGAAAAAGGTCAAGATTGCGCGTTGTTTCGTTTTCGTGGAACACGTGTTTTTTTCTTCTCTGCTCTACATTGAAATGGGCCATAATTTACAATAAAAGTGTCAAATATTACGCTATGCCAGCTATGCGAGGAAACTTAATGATCCGTATCGACCCGTCTCGGAGCACGTTCAAATTTCGTCTAGGATTTGTTTAAAAAGAAAAAGGGGAGAATGTGGCAGAAGTATGTGTGCTTTTGTTGAGACCAGAAGTAAATCTTTACGTTGCGAATAGTGAGTGCAGCTTCGACAATTACAAAGGTGATGTACTTGTTTTATTTATCTCTACGTCTATTGCATCCCTCTAATAATGATATGATCGTGTTCGATTATTTGCCAATTTAACTTTATGCTCGTACAGCATTGATTATTGCCATTTATAACACATTCCAGATATAAATTGCAGTTTTAATTATACTGGTCCTACTGGGAATTACTGACCGATTTACGTGTTTTTATTTATATTTACATACTGTATGTTTCCTTAGGGCGATACCCAATACAAGTATGCAGAACTACATTTTAATTTATAATTGAACTTATTGCAGCACATTTCGCTTTTGTTTACCTGATTATGTTACTGTGTATTTACAGGGTGCCTCATCTGGGGGCGAGTGACGTACGTTAGGTGGTTGATTGTTACATATTGCACTTGGCATTGTGAATTAATTACTTGATACCAATGTTTGCCACAACATGTTCCTTTGTATTGTTGTAATGTGATAGTACTAAAAGTTATGCTCCTACTATTTATTTGAACTGGGTGATTATGATAGTCGAGGCAACGAATTAATTTGCTCGGTATGGTTGGAAGCGGAAGGTTTGACTTCAGAACCTTGTTTGGGCCCCTTAGGAGGTAACCATACTCAAAGTCCCCAGGATTCCTACTGGAGCCTTCCCGGGGGGAGGGGCGCAAAGATCAACATTTTCTGTTTTTCGCTGATATCTTGAAAACGGTGCGTCTAGGAAATATGAATTTATTGTAATGTTTTAATGATTGTTTTTGTTATGTGTGTGTGTAATATTTATTCTTTAGGAATTCCAGTGGAGCCTGGGATTCAACATTGTATTGTTGTACTTGACAACATATACATTCATGCCATTACAGATAACTAATTTTGCTATAAAGTTCAATATTAATTTGTTGGCTGGGTTTTTTCTTGGTCAGTTCTTTTTTTCCCAGCCTATTTTTATATTTCTACTCGGTCAACTACCATTTTCTAAATTTAATATTGCAATGCAAATTATTTGGATTAAATCTCCGTTTTTAAAGCATGTACTTGTTTTATTTGTATTCCTTACTTGATCCTCACTCCGACAGGCAACACATATCTTGTAGCGACTCTTAAAAACACAACGTAGTAAGTGGTCCTATTATTTTGTTATTCAGGTTAGATAGCTTTGTCTAGACGATCACGTGCCATGAGGTTCAGTTAGTTTGGGAGGGAAAGTTTCAAATTTAAATCTTGAGTTGCGCAGTCTCTCGGGACTGGCCTGGATACAGCACAAAGTAATGCTTTACATGTTTTAAGGTAATGGAAATTCATGACATTCTGGAGAACAACGAAGCAATTATTGGTTCAAATGGAAAAATTGTTGTACCACAAGGGGAGAAAAGTGACGTATTAAAAAATAATTTCATGTGCGTCATTTGCAATCAAAAGTTCTCTACAAAGAAAACATTAACGTATCACATTAATTATAAACACAATGACACCAGAAAAGTATATCAATGTACGGAGTGCACAGATACCTTTGCAAATACGTGGGGTGTATTTAGGCACTTATATAAGACACATCGTAAAACGCCTGCTCAGGTGAAGAAGTTACGTAATCAAATTCATAGCAATCGAATTCGAAATGACGAGCAGACCATCACAAAAAATAGCGATGCCAAGTCTGAAGTAATAGTTTCCGATACTACATCTACGACTTTAGGCTCAGAAGATCAGGTATTTATTTCACGGTACGCGTCAACTCGTCAAGGGCGACTCGCCACCGACTGACTCGCCAACGGGACAACTCGCCACCGCGACAACTCGCCACTGCGACAACTCGCCAACGAAATATTTTTCCCTGTTTAATGTGTCGTTCAAATAACGATGTGATTGTCAAATTTTCTGTTCAAATAATAATTTGCAGAAGATGTCGTTATATCAAAATGCAGTAATAGAAACAGGTATAGGCGGTTGGGTCTTCATTCAAATATTGACTACAATTTTTCGATAAACTTTTTTTACAAAATTAGGGAAATTGACTATTGCATTTGTGGGATGCATTTGTATGACACATTAAACAGGAAAAAATATTTCGTTGGCGAGTTGTCGCAGTGGCGAGTCGTCCGTTGGCGAGTTGTCGCGTTGTCCCATTGGCTAGTCGGTCAGTGGCGAGTCGCCCTTGGCGAGTTGACCGTGTCCTTTTATTTCATTATATCGTTTCAAATAATTCAGTGTTATTTTTTAGCAATGGATCGACGACTTAGAATGTGATAATGATCTGCAACGTTGTGGAGGCTGTGGGCGCAAGTTCGAGCGTAAAGCTGCACTTCATTCCCATTCTCAGTTTTGTACTAAACGCATTGCTGTATGCAACAGTATTAAAGAGAATAATCACAAGAAAGCGCAAGAAGACAAACAAGAGAAAAAAATCGCGGAACCTGTTGCTATAGCTCTATCTGACGGTTCCAGAAAACGTAAACCTCTAGTAGCTTATAAAATATTAAGATTCGATTATATGAAAGATACTCCTAGTAGTCCGGGAACGAATGATAAAGCTGTTCATAGTACTAGAGAATTAGTACAAAGTGAAGAGCCTGATAACAAAGAAAGCGATACAAAAGGGGAGGAAATTGCAGCTTTAAATACAATTATTAGTGATTTGGTACATGAAATTGTCAATTCAAAGTCTTCATCAACATCACTGGACGAAAAATCTATTCCTACAAATAATCCGGACGAGTGTTTACAAATGGATGTTGAAAATAATAATTCCCAGTGCGAAAGTGAGAAACAGTCGATTAAAAAAAAATGTTTGCGCGCTTTAGAGAAGAAGTGTACCGACTACATTAACAAGGAAAGAAAATTATGTTTGCCTTGTGACAAAGCATTTAAAACTTATAAGTGCCTAATGAGACATATGGCTGTTCACTTTAATTGGCACCGGTTCCAGTGCGCAGCTTGTCAGTACACAGCGTATCACAGATCAAAATGCGAGCATCACCTTGAAAAAAAGCACTCGATCGTTAATCAAGAGGCATATAGCGATTACATTAAGCGTATACCCTTCGAAAAAACCTTGGATTTGGCTACCGACTTCATCAATTATGCCAAGAAGTGTAAAGCTGAAGTCCAAGCTAAGGAGTTAATCGAAACGGCAGAAGTTGCAAGTAATGGCAATGAATCTGAAGAACAAGAAATCCAAGTTAAAGAGTCAGTGGAACCAACAAGTAATTTTAAGCACCTTAAACCTGTTAAAGCACCCGAAGAAGTCCAAGCTGAAGTGTCAGTAGAATCAACAGTAGTTGCAAATAATGACAATTGGATCAAAATTGAAAATGCACCTGACGAATTTCTAGCTAAAGAGTCCATTGAAACAATGGAAGTTGCAAATAATGACGGGCAAATTAAAATTGAATCTGAAGAAATCCAAGGCGAAACAACAGTAGCTGCTAGTAATGGTAGGCGCTACTCTGATTTATCTATTTTATACTGACATTATAACTAAATTTTTTGTTCGTAAATAATTTATTTTATTTTATAGCAGAGTAGTCAACTATAACCGGTTTAAGTTATCTCTTTGTTGTCTGTTCTGAACTTAATTTTATTTCGTGCTGCGTGTCCCATTTTAAATAAAAATGACGGATGCCGTTGGAATGCACAATGATTTCCATCACTTGCCGTTAAAGAGCGATTTTAGCCTACTCATTCAAACCTATTAAAATGTCAATCTGCTTTAAAATAAAGTCTTTTGCATTATCTCACTCATATGATCTATTTTACCTTTTCAGATGGAACGTCAACAGAAAAATCCAATTTAGAAGGAAATTCAACAATTCCACAAGATATATCTGATCCTCAAGATCCTGCGTTGAGAGATATGATCATGACAGTCATTTTTGGAAACAACGCAACCGTATCATCTGCTAATTCTAATCCGCACGTAGAAAACAATGGAACCACAGAAGTGGAAATCATCAAAGAACGTGATTTAGAGCTGTGCAAAAATTCGAAGCCTAACCGTAACGTCGAAACAAATATTCCAGCGGAAACGAAAGTCACAAACCACAATCACGTCGTAACATCAACCGGTGCCCGTGAAGAATTGGACGTGCAATCTAAATCGGCGAGATGTCGACCTATACGGGCTCGAACAGCGACAGTCAGAAAAGACTTTTTATATGATATGACGCAAATACTGAAATTAAAACCAAAAAAGGATCTGATAGTACAAAAGCCTCTCAGGGTCTATACGCGCAAAAATAAAGTCGTACCTCCTAAAACAAATAACAATAGTTTTAACATACTCCAGAATGTGAACATTAATCCAATTCAAGTTCCAGATACATAATGACACTCGATTTAAAAGTTTCTTTAAAATGTGTTCTTGTTACGTTAGTGAAATCGTATTTTTTTAAGTAGCTACTGCCATTGTTGTAAATAATACAAGTTAAAATAGGTTTGTCGTATTAATCGTCATCTCTAGGGTGAGTTTTCTTTTCTAGGCAAACGTATTTATCTTTTGTTGTTAATTATTTGAAGGCTGAACTGTTGTTTAACTATGTTTCCGTTGTATAAATATTATTTACTAATAAACTACAAATATTTTGAAATGAACGGCGAGTTCCCTATATGTAATAATCTTTAATTCAAAAAATTGTAAATAACAATAGCCCTATACTTAGTTTGGCAATGGTGTATTTCTCGAAATACTGTTTTACATATGTATATTCAGAATGAGTCATTGCAATACAATATCCGCAAGAAGTGGTTAAATAGATCTCTTCAGTACCGAAGTCGAATTGACAAAAGCTGGTAAAACCATTGACGTGTGGACTGGGTATTGCACCCTGGTTTCACAGCCTTAGCCTATTGGCTTTTATACTGTTGTCCCTTCTTTTGTTTTCTTTATTTATTTTCTATCGCTCCAGGATCCTTCTGGGATGTTTCTTGTGGTCCCGCAATTCTCCTAATGTGAGCAATGGTGATCGTCTCGTTCCTACTGAACCATGGTGCTTTGAGTATGGTATGAAAATTTTCCTCTCTAGTGAGGAAAGCAAAAAACAATTGCTATAACCTTAGTGTAAAGAATAGAATAGTGAGACAACCTCCATGTACGTTTTGGAAACCGCATATTTAAGAGTTATAGATGTCGCGCGCGTGTCAATATTACCATCCACTAAAGATTGGCGGTTCTTTTCTCGAAATGAGTACGCTACTCAACGCTAGTACTGTACATAAATCTGCAACATGACTGATAAAAAAACTACGGCTCTTTTACAGCAAGGTATACAGGACAATGAAGCTATTGTTCATGAGCGCGGGTATGCGATGATGTTATCCAGTATGGTTACAAAAAATTCTGTACCTATACACATTTGATTATTTTTGTTGGCAGACTTTTAATCTCCTTTCGTGTGAACTTGATCTTGATAGTAATTTTTCTTAAAACTCGCCAAATCTGAAATAAGGGCTTTCAATATGATTTATGGTTTACTTAATACATCATCAGCTGCACCAAAATTTCTCGGGAAAACACTTTTTCTTATTAATTTTGGTGCGTAGAATCTAAAACAATTCGTACTTTTTCGATCGGACTTCTCAATCAAAAGTTATGGACTAGAAACCAATTTCGAAAGAAAATTCAAAGAGCTCTAACTTTTGAACTAAAAGCCCAATCTTGGAACTGTTTGAAATTATGGATTCTACAGGCCACATTCTATAAGAAAATTTTTTTTCCTGGTCGATCTGAGACAATTTTTTTTTCGGGGCTCAAAAAAGGCAGTGTATAACCTTCCTTTTTTACCAAAAATCGACTGCACCAAAATTTCTCGGGAAAACACTTTTTCTTATTAATTTTGGTGCGTAGAATCCAAAACAATTCGTACTTTTTCGATCAGACTTCTCAATCAAAAGTTATAGACTAGAAACCAATTTCGAAAAAAAATTCAAAGGGCTGTAACTTTTGAACTAGTAGCCCAATCTTGGAACTGTTTGAAATTATGGATTCTACAGGCCACATTCTATAAAAAAAAATTTTTTCCGGGTCGATCTGAGACAATTTTTTTTTCGGAGCTCAAAAAAGGCAGTGTATAACCTTCCTTTTTTACCAAAAATCGACTGCACCAAAATTTCTCGGGAAAACACTATTTCGTATTAATTTTGATGCGTAGAATCCAAATCAATTCGTACTTTTTCGATCAGACTTCTCAATCAAAAGTTATGGGACTAGAAACCAATTTCGAAAGAAAATTCAAAGGGCTGTAACTTTTGAACTAGTAGCCCAATCTTGGAACTGTTTCAAATTATGGATTCTACAGGCCACATTCTATAAGAAAATTTTTTTTCCGGGTCGATCTGAGACAATTTTTTTTCGGGGCTCAAAAAAAGGCAGTGTATAACCTTCCTTTTTACCAAAAATCGACTGCACCAAAATTTCTCGGGAAAACACTTTTTCTTATTAATTTTGGTGCGTAGAATCCAAAACAATTCGTACTTTTTCGATCGGACGTCTCAATCAAAAGTTATGGACTAGAATTAGTCACCACCCTGTATAGTTGATCCGCACATACACTGTGTCCAAGATAAGGTTGTCTATCATGGGGATTTCCGAAACCATGGAAGGTATGACGATAGTCTAAATGAGGAAAAAATGCGCAATTAACCAGTAACCACAATGCTTTAAAGAAAACCAAAAAATTCCGATGTCAGAAAAACAGAAATTTCCCGATTTCGTTTTTATTTTTTTCTGAGGGCATTTGAATAGATACAAAATAATAACAAACACTTTCTCATTACCACCTTTTGTGCCCTAAAACTTAGAAGAGATCGTTGAGAGATTTTCAAGACGTTTCGTTTCGGAGAAATAATCAGCTTTATTTTTTTATGTGACCCGTAAAAAGTACACACTGTATTGAGTAACATTGTTGAGAAAATGTTTTTTATATATTTTTTAGCCCCCCGAATTATTTCCGGTGATGCTGTTTTTGAAAGTAAAAGTGCATAACTTTTACATACGACAACCAATTGGTCTCAGATTTTGCATACGCATGCCTTTAGTGGTGACAAGTTAAACTTGGGGGGGGGGGAACACATGTTCTACCCTTCATGGTATTCTAATGGAAGGTCTCATTGAAAGAATTTCTACCAACCATAGCCCTCCTCCTCGACCTCTTATCGTGATATGGTATATTCGAGGGTATATTTTCTTATACCTCCAGAACGGATTGTCGGAAGAGGGTACTCACAAAGAGCGATGAGACGTCTGCTATAAATAGCATCTTAATATTTAAAATTGAAACATACCCGTATCTAGATTGCCAAGTGTCAAAGTTCATTTTTGCATACAATAATTTTGTTTATTTTGATTGTAGTTTCAGAAAAAAATATGCGTAAGACTTGAGAAGAAAGTTCTACTATTTATTTATTTATTGTTCAATTGACATGTGTCAAACTTTGAACTACAGTTGAAAAACTCCACTTTCTTCTGTAGTTGTGCGAATAACTATTGATGGTACAAACTTAAAATACCAATTGAACCTGTATGAGAAGGGTTTTTGTAAAAAGTTAAAAAGACCAGAACGTAAAAGCATGAATTGGCGTTATCGTAAAATAACCTTAAATTACCACAAATTTCCTTACGATCATGATAGTCCGTATTTTCTTTAAATAATTGTGCAATTTTTCTGCTAATCAATAATCTTGGTATTACTGGCATATTCTTGGTTTAAATTATTTTTTTCTAAATATTTGTTTATTAACATGTGTATTTTAAACACAAATCCACATTTTTATAATACATATGTAATTAAAAAGAAGTCGCAAATCTAAAAACTCCAAAAAAATAACAATTTCTACATCTTTTGTAATAACTATATGCAATCTGTACAACATTCTTGGTATAAAATATAAATAAAAACCCCTAAACCATACTTGTTACAAATGTAATGCAATACGATGCATATTGTAACACATTGGTAGACTTTGTCACAAAATAAAAATTTCAATATTTAAAATTATCAATAAATATTTTTAATATTACATTGTATGAAACACTTAATAAGAGTAAACATCGTGCATGCTTCTATTATTGTCTCCAGCCGGAAATAATGAAAAAATAATTTAAACAATCACTCCGGAGAGAATAATAGAGGTAAGCTGAACAGTTTGAGATTGCTAAATTTTAAAATCATATGCTATCGCGCCCTTGTATTTACAAACTATTTACAGTATTTTTTTATTAAATAAATGGCAATGTCTAATATCTGTACAGTATAAATATATTTCACAATAAAAAAAATTAATACAAAATTCTGATAAAAGTAAAATAATGTCATAATATCATTCTAATATAGTACTAATACATGTTTAGCAAATTATATTTAACAATGTTAAATATGCACCATTACCGCAAGGGAAAGTTAGCTGCAAAGTAAAAAACTGCTGTATAAGAAATTATCTGTACGCTTGCTATGTATCCAAATCATCTTCTCGTTGGCTTGAAAAATATGACACTAATCCGACAAACTCTCCACCTTCCTCTCCTTCGTCGAATGTTTTACCTACAACACTAGACGTAGTCGTGACCGGTGCAGTTGGAGATTCGGTGGTTTGTATCGGAGGTCCACCTTCGGGATACTGTTCGGGAAAAGGTTGTGCCGAATAGCTCGGAGAAGATTGACCTTCATCGGGAGTTAGTGGAGGTGGGGGCGGATATGATCCATAATGGTAATTGGGAGGCAATGTTGGGTGAAATTGAGAAATGTTAGGCGAGCGATGCTGCTGCAAGTGCGAAGGTATGATGGGCAGCGGTCGTGCTCCTTGTGTATTCGAGGATGACGGCGAGAAATGCGCCAGTGGAGGTCTGGTGTACGGCGGAGGAGTGGGGTCACCTTTGCCGAGAGGACTTTGCGATGGAGGCGGCACTACCAAAGGTGATTGTCGATCTCTGTTAGTGTTAGGAACATTTATTGGTCCACCACCAGACGGTGAAGGATCCAGAGAACGATGCGCATGATACATGGGAGGTAAATTTGGAGCTCCCGGACTGTGAAGTCTGAGCGGTGGCGGACCGCTTCTTATCACGGGAAAGTGTGGTATCGGAGGTTGTTGGTAAGGTCCGCGTGGACCCGCATTACCTACATAAAACAAATAATATCTAAGTTATGTGAATTTATGAACATGTCGTAATTTAAATTGATTGAATAGCAGGTTGTCCTTTTAATGGATTCATTAGATAATCAACTCGCCCCTCTAAATAGGCATGCATGCACCCTACTAATTACATTATTCAAAAGTATAGTGGTCCTTCTCCAATTCAACTTGGCATAGTTGCAAAAATTGAACTAATAGTCAAAGAACCAGTGACAGGTTAGACTTCCTCTTTCCCATACCAGTAAAAGGCTCCGATATCCTCAGACAGACCATATCTAAACGATATGCATATAGAAAAACAAATAAATTATACAGTGTGATTGATTTTGCATGTCCAAGCATATATTTCTTTTATTATTGGAAATAGGAAAAAAGTGTAAGAAGCAAAAATACTCTACTTTCAAGTTCTGACAAAGCTACATATTCAAAAAACAAGTGATATAAAAACAAAAGAGCATCAGAAAACAAAATAACTTTTTTAAATAGAACAGTTACTTTTGTTTGTAATATTCTTAAAGAGCTTGAAAATCTCTTTACAATGATATCGAATATGTTATAATTACCTTAGAAATTCGAGCTACAGTAATGTGTTTAGAAACAATCGCAGTAGCTGTGGAAATTTAAACAAAAACATAAAATTTAGAACAGGAAGCGAAGAAAACAAATGAAAAGCAGTCACAGAAATAACTATTATAACTTAAGACAAATTTAAATACATTGCATTCTTATCATTATATTGAATAAAAATTCTTAAGATTTTCCACCATTTATGTAATTATTATTTTGTTGTATTGTGGTTCTTATAAGTTATATTGCTCACTAAACTTATTTTGTGACAGACATGACAAGTGAAAAACTCGCTTTTCTTTTTGATTAAATTTCCAGATACTGCGATTGATTTTAAAAACATTACTTTAGCTTTAATTTCTAAGTTAATTATAACATATTTGATATCATTGTAAAGAGAATTTCAAGCTCTTTAAGAATAGTGCAGAAAAAAGTAACTGTTCTATTAAAAAAAATTATATTTTCTGATGCTCTTTTGTTTTTATATCACTTGTTTTTTTGAACATGTAGCTTTATCATAATTTGAAAGTAAGTATTTTTGTTTTTGACACTTTCCTATTTCTAATAATAAAAGAAAAGCTTGGACACGCAAAATCAATCACACTGTATATTAGAAAACAGCGCAAGGCAACCTATTTTTGTAATTATTACAGCTAATATAAACAATGGAAACCTTCATCAATCGTAAGAAACTTAGCATTGAGCACTTTGCACATGCACACACCTGATGTTGAAAATAGCGATGTTTGCTTTTATTATAAGAATCTTTGGTTAAAATATCAAAAAATGTCTCTATAAATAAGAAAGTCCACATTGCGCAGTGCGCGCACGTCAGATTTTTACAGCATGCGATATGCTTGTCTTTACTAGAAGCATCCGTGGTTAAAATTTCAAAGAAACATCTCTATAAACAAGAAAGTTGCCCAGGCTGCGCATGCGCACATTAATCGCCAAGATTTTTCGCGATTGAGGTGCCAGAGAAAGTGACCATAATAGCGCCATCCAACATGTGTAGGAAAATCCGTTAAAAATTGTGGTAGCTATTTACCAAACGCCAACAACAAAAGAAATGTATCAATCCATTCGTGGGAATATCCAACAGGTGTATGAAAAATAAGTTTTTATTATGCACACTCTAAGTGGATATTATAAATTCTATAACTTCTATTGCCACAATTGAAAATGTAAGAGATTGTTTTGCTAGGTACGGGTTGCCCGTCGCGCTTGTCTCCGATATGATGGACAAATAGTGTTATGTTTAAACAATTAAAAAGGCTCTTAAAGCCTGGGAAAATAGACCAGGTGTGGGGGGAAGATTGTGGATTTATTAACGCATATATTTAAAATTTATTGTCAGGGCATGTTGAAGGATCCTTAAGGCTACAACCTAAAAATATTTTCAACGAAATTGCAATTGTTATACAGGGAGATTTATATCAAAGTTGCATTTTTTTAAATGGAACCCCCTGTATTTTATTGCATATTTCGATTTATTGGTCAATTTTAGTGTGACTTTATGTATTACACGATATCTAAAACGAGTCATTCAGCCGTAATCTGTCATTTTTTCAAAAAGTAGACGTCCAGTAAAAATTGAATATCTCAGTTATTATAAAACTTAGAAGGCGGTGACTCTGCAGTGTAACTAATCATGAAATGTATCAACATACGCATACTTTTTCAATTGACCCAAAAACTCACAATACGAATGTACCAAGGGAAAAGTAAGTAGGCAGTGGACGAAGCAAATAAAAATTGCCTTTTTTTGCATGGCCACCTAGTTATTATGTAAATTACATATGACTTACCAGGAAAACCAAGATATTTCGAAAACTATCAGAGATAGGTATACTCAAAAGTTGAAGGTTTTTGGAGGAGCTAGACAGAAAAATATACAGGGTATTCCATTAAAAAAAAGTGAGATTTTTTAATAACTTTGGACCTACCAAAAAAAATACCATGTAAGCTGTTTTTTTAATGTTTCATAGTAGATGTATTTATTTGACTTTTACTTAACCCAGGATAAAAGATATAAAACCCGGAATCAAAATTTAAGTAATAATTTTGACAATATACTCACGCTTGCAAATGCCCAATTTTTCATACAAATCGAATTATCCGTAACACTACTAGTTTTTCGGATGTACCATTTTGGCGCTCTATTTTGTGAGCGCACCCTGTATACTTCCAAATATTTTTAAAATGTGAAGAATATTCAACCATATAATACAAGAGCACTCTATCGAAAAATCTTATCTTCAAGGCATTAAGTTACTCCGCGCGATCGTTGACTCACCCTGTACCTTATATGGATGTGCGGGAATGTACTGGATATACAGGGTGTTTTTTTGGGAGCTTTAGTTAAACGTTTCTGGAAAACTAAAATAGGTAGGTTTTTTGAAAATTTGTACTTAGGAGTTACTCTGAAGACGGAATCGATGTAAAATATTTTCAAAATGCCCGCACTTCCGGAAACACCGGGCAAAAAAAGGCAGTGTATAACCTTCCTTTTTTCCAAAAATCGACTGCACCAAAATTTCTCGGGAAAACACTTTTTCTTATTAATTTTGGTGCTTAGAATCCAAAACAATTCGTACTTTTTCGATCAGACTTCTCAATCAGAAGTTATAGACTAGAAACTAATTTCGAAAAAAAATTCAAAGGGCTGTAACTTTTGAACTAGTAGCCCAATCTTGGAACTGTTTGAAATTATGGATTCTACAGGCCACATTCTATAAGAAAATTTTTTTTCTGGGTCGATCTGAGACAATTTTTTTTCGAGGCTCAAAAAAAGGCAGTGTATAACCTTCCTTTTTAACAAAAATCGACTACACCAAAATTTCTCGGGAAAACACTTATTCTTATTATTTTGGATGCGTAGAATCCAAATCAATTCGTACTTTTTCGATCAGACTTCTCAATCAAAAGTTATAGACTAGAATATTTTGACAATACATGTTCCTATAGCTATCTTTACTTACGCCCATTTTATTGAATTGACACTATTTTTTTCGGATTTTCTTTTTAGTAGTCGGCCATGATTTTATAACAATCGAATTTTAAACAAATCTAGTGACACTAATCCGTCACCCACTGTTATAGGTTAACATAAGTTTTTCAATAATCGAAAAATGACTGGCAGTGGTTTCACCTATTTTGGAATTTAATTGTTATTTATGGTGAAATGGACAGAATTGCGGCACATGCTTGCCGTACATTCATTCGAACACTGGAACGAAATTGCATGAATTTTGGAAATGTTGTACCCCCAAATGCACTACAAACCGTTGAAGCACAAGTGATACAAAGCTCTACAAGAGAATATTGAGGAGAATGAATTGAATTGCAAATGCAAGATTAACAAAATAAATTCAATGCAAAATATAAAAAACTTCGTTGAAACAGTTTTGGTATGGAATTGTTGCTAGAACAGATATCGCATTACCTCTCTTAATTTTCAGACTTATGCGTTGTTTAAGAAATTCAGTTGAACGACTCTGTCTAGATTTTTCAAAAATTTTCCGTCCTATATTCTTAACAAAAAACTTATTTATTAATGAATCATTTAGACTAGAATCAATGATATTAACGCATCCATTCCTTGATTTGTTTAAAATTCGATTGTTATAAAATCATGGCCAACTACTAAAAAGAAAATACGAAAAAAATCGCATCAAATCAATGAAATGGGAATAAATCAGAAACTGTTAAAGATAGCTATAGGAACATGTAATATCAAAATATGCCAATTTCGATTCTCTTATCTCATGCAATAGTAAAAACATGGTCATTTCATTTAAAAAAAAACTGAGTTTATAGACTTTAAAGTTTCTTAAATTTGGATCTCCATAGGTGCGGTTGTACGCAACTTAACTTTTTTTTAAGTACACTAAAAGAAAGCCCTATTCATTCTCTATGCACTGATAAAAATTGGTTGCCATGACTGTAACCATTTTCAAGTAATCGATTATCAAGGTACCATCTGCATCCGCCATTTTTTTTCATAAAGTCAAAATAACTTAAAAACCATAAATGGCAGATATCAACATATTGGTATCAAAAGAACTGAAATTTAACGTAGAATCCAAAAATCTAATAAAAAATATGGGTTGCCATTTAAAATAACGAAGTTACTATCTACTTCCGGTGTTTCCGGAAGTGCGGCCATTTTAAAAATATTTTACATTGATTCGCCCTTCAGAGTAACTCCTAAGTACAAAATTTCAAAAACCTACCTATTTTACTTTCCCAGAAACGTTTAACTAAAGCTCCCAAAAAAACACTCTGTACATGTAGACGTGGAATGTACCATGGATAGGGTTGCCATCTCAAAACTCTGCCAACTAGGACAGGAAGCGTGAAAACCCCGGATTTAGGGATTATAAACCCGGACATATCAACTGCATTTTATAAAAAATATTGTCTAAAGAAATAGTCTTTGAAATTCTACTTTATTTTGATCACTGACTAGCGAGCTGACTAGACTGTTTCAATATTCAATAATATTATAAAGGAACAAGGGATTAAAAAGAGTTTTTGTTCCTGAGAGAATGGTTTAAATTTAATATTTTTTTTAATATTTATTTTTAAGGAAACAAAAAGTAGTTTAATCCAGTGTTGATTATACTATTTTTTCCAATACCGATCGATTTAAATCCATTTTTCCATGAATTGTTTACAAGAAAACAAAAATGAGGGATTAAAATTTTTTTAATCTCTAGGGATTAAAATTACCTGTTAATTTACAAAAATTAGGAATTAAATTCAATAAAACAATGTAGGTATTGGAAAAATTCCTTTCATTGGTCCCCTGTTATGCCACTAGTGAAAATATTCTTTCAACGTTGGCATTATGAGCAGGAATACAAAAAAAGCACCAGACAATTTTCAATAACTCCAAGTTTAATGAGGATTCGGTGTTTTAAAAAATTGTAACCAAAGCTGATTGGCGCCTTAAAAGTTTATCTTGTTTTGACAGAAACTCGTAGATATCTCAGTAGCCTAAAACCCGGACTACCAATGAAACCCCGCCCGGACGCTCCCCGGTCACCCCCTAAACTAGGACAAATCCGGGGAAACCCGGACGGATGGCAACCCTACTCATGGATATGCAATGTATGAACACATGAATATGCAGTGTTTGTACATATGGATATAGTTTTGACATTACATTCATGACATGTCTTTCCAATGGAGATTCCCCGAAGTTCCATAATGTTATTTATGGATACATAGTATATCCAATCTCCAATAACGTTTGAATACAATTGGTGCTACGTGGGTAGTTTCCCTTTATCATCATGTATAATACAAAACTTTACTAATGTCTAAAATAGCAAGTTTAGGTTTCCCCCTCGTTTCCATGGAAACAATCAGTTTTGAACTTCATTTTATTTCGTGCTCGGCATCCAATTTCTAATAAGAATGACAGATATTTGTTTCTCTTTACCTACTCTTGGTGTTTATTTTAACCCCTCTTACTGTTAAAGAGAGATTTAGACTACTCAGTTAAACCTATTAAAATGTCAAATTTTTTGGAAATACACAAATAAAACCTGGAACTACTCTTTTCCCAGAAACATATCCACTCACCACCTTACTAGTCACATGTGTATAGATACCAAGACCATATTCTTCATGCTGTTTCTTGCTAAACACAGACACATACAATTGAGTGTAACGTTGTACGTACCTGGATGGTAAGCGCCAAGCTGTGGATCATTACCATGTCCGCCGAAGTATTTAGAAACGCTGGAAGGTGGGAAACTGTTTTGACCCGGCTGCGACTGCAACATTCTGGTAATTACAGATGGAGTGGGTTGACTTTGAGAAAATGGTTGCGGCGGCGCGGCAATGCCCAATTTGCTCCCGTGCAACGGTGAATCTGGAGCAGGTGAAACAGTGTTACTACTTGACGAAGTTGGACCTTCCAGTCCAATTTCCATATCAATATTTTTATTAGAGGCTGCCGCGGCTGCTGCTTCGGCAGCCAACGTCTTCTTTCCCTTACCTCTACCCCTCCGCTTTTTCGGACTGCCATCCGCGTTCATCGAGGTCGGCGCTAATTCGCTGAACATCGGAAGAGAAATGCCGGGCGGTTCCGAAAGTTCGGCGTTACTAGACAGTAACAGTGCGGAATCTGGGAATGACTTTATTAGATTTGCGGACGCATTGAGCGTTGGGTTTTTTGGTTTTCGGCCACGCTTCTTTGGTACTTTTTGCTCTAATTGCATTAGCTTTTCTAACCTCTGTACTTCTCGTTCTTTTCGTTTCTTCTCCTTTTCTATTTGCAAAGCGACGAGTTGAAGTTGCCTATTGGCGTACTCTTCTTCTTCCATCATTTTTTCCATTTCCTGCTCGTTCATTTGTTCGACGTTTTTGTTAATTTGCTCGATGGGATTCGGTTCGTCGTCCAAATCTTGAGACTCGTGCTCGTGTAGCAACATAGGATCCATTATTAATGGCGGAGGAATGATTTGTGAAGGTATCAGCGATTGAGATTCTAAAGTTTGTTGCAGTATGGGTATTTCTGTGCGAGCTATGGTACTTGTAGGAGGTAAATCTGTCATTATTGGTGGGAAAAGTTCCAAGGTGGGATCCTTCGGTTTTCTAGGAATCTTCAGACCCGCCTTTCCACGACCCTTTGGTTTCGGCCTGGGGTTTAAGGGTAATGGAAGATCACGTAAAACATTTTCAACTCCGGATTCGTCACTATCGTTTTCATTTTGCAATCTCTGCTGAAGTTCTTCGTCTTCGTGCACGGCATATTCGTCGTCGCTCTCTTCAATTCTAGGCGGTTTCCTTCTGCCATCCTAAAAGAACAAAATTAACATTAATTTCTGTAATATTTTACCTACATCGTCACTGTCTGAACCTAATGCTTCCAGATAATTGATTTTTTTCCCTCTCGTCCGACGTCCGACTTCCTCATCGTCACCTCCTAATTTAATATTCGGTCGACTTTTGAAAGCTTCGGGATCAGAGTCTTCTCCGATCTTCTTCTTTTTCTTTTTCGGCCGTTTTGCTTTGTCCGAAGGTTTTCGTCTCGATCTACAATTATCGTAAGAAGCAAAGATATAGAAACGATCTTTTCAAAATTACCGAGCAGTAGCCGCTTTGCGTCTCCTTCTACCCCACGACCGGTCACTTTCTTCAGATTCCGATTCATCCCAAACAAATCGATTCTTTTTTCGTCTAGGCCCCGATCCATCCGAATCGCTGTCATCATTGACTTAAATGATCGTATAGTCATTACATCAACGTAACCGTAAGCGTATACTTACTAAAATCGCGATCATATCGGGATATACGAGCGCGTGTCGATCTACGAATTGGACCACCTTTGTGTGACCTTGGTTTTCTCACTTCTAAATCGTCACTACTTTCGCTACCAACATAATCGTCCTCCTCTTCCTCGGAATCGGCACTACTACAATGTATTGCAGATTAACAAGAGACGTTTGGGTCCATGAAGTTAACAGGATATTGACGGCACAAACGTCGAGACTAGGTGGATTGGTTTGTGCCGTAAAAAGTTTGCCAGCAAAACATACGGTTTGGAAATTATTTTGATTTTTAGAGGTTCTGCTAATAGGCCAGTCATTGAGGATCTTTACCTGGAAATAACTCGGGAAATACTGAAATTTTGTATGCTTGAGTGCGTAGAACTGAAATTCATAAAATGCACAATTCGAAACTTGCCGCCATCTTGCCAAGATGGCCGTCAAAAGCGGTTTTCCGCCGATATCTCCAAAACTGCGCATTTTACGAGAAAATATGTGATGAGCGAAATTAAAGAGACGAAAATTTCCTACAAAAGATGTAGTTAGCATATTTTCACTAAAGTTAGCCCTTACGCAGAAATTTTTAATAACCAGTGGCGTATATTTTATCAAAATAATAATAATAATAATGACTTTATTTGGACACACTATGACAAATATATAAACAATACCAATATTATACATTCAACTTGGCGTCCAAAAGGCGAAGTTCACTAAGAGGCATGCAGCCCTTTGTGCTCTTCCACTTAACCTGTTCAATAGCAAACTAAAATTAATAAAAAATTTTTGATGGTCTAAATTAACAAGAACAAAAATACACAAATAAAATTTAGAAACAAAGTAACTTGAAAGTAGATTAGTAACTATAAGATGTTAAAACATCGTGGTAAACTTTTTGTTTAAATTTAGACGGTGTTAATTGTTTAACGTTCGACGAAAGTGAGTTATAGATCTTGGCTATATTGTATGAAAATGATTTTTGAAATAGTTCTAAGTTATGGTTAGGAATGGTAATCAAATCTTTCCGACGAACATTAATATTATGAACATCTGTTCGAAATGTAATTTTATTATATAAATAAGGTGGTGATTTAAACAAGATAATTTTGTGAAATGCAGTGGCAGAGTAGAGAAGTCGATTTTTTTCCATGTTTAGCCACGGTATACACTTTAACTTGTGAGAAACCCTTTCAAACCTCCTAATTCCGTAAATTAAACGAACACATGAATTTTGAATAATCTGTATTCTTCTTTCAAGAAATTTAGAAAGACAGGGGCCATACATTGCGCTACAAAATGAAAAATGGGATAGCACGAGGGATCGACAGAGCATAATTTTTGAATTGCGAGAAAGTAAACCTTTAATTCGATGTATATATCTAAGACCAGCAAACGCCCATTGTGAACAATTTTTGATATGCGTTTGATAATTGAAATTGACGCTTAGCCCGAGATTTTTGGCTTCCTGAACCAACTCTAATTTTTTATTTCCGATTTTTATATCTAAGAGTGAGGAAACTTAGGCACGAGTAGCTGTGTTGTGTGATGCCCCAAATAATAGCCACTTACATTTACTGGGGTTAATATGTAATGAATGTTGTTCAGCGTAATTTAGAAAGGTATTTAAATCTTCGTTTTTTTCACCGTTTGCCTTCTCAACTTCAGTTTTAGAAAATGCATAATATAACTGCGTATCTTCAGCATACAGGTGGTAATTGCAATATTTTAATTTGTTTATAATATTAGCAGTATATATTGAAAAAAGCAGAGGCCCTAAAATAGAACCCTGGGGAACGCCACATCGCAAATTAATCATTGTTGAAGTTTTCCCATTAATGTCAACTAATTGGCCCCTGTGTTTTAAATAATGAAGGAAAAGTGTAATAGAATTTGGGTCAAAGCCAATATAATGTAGTATTGCTAATAAAATATCATGATCAATCGTATCAAACGCTTTCGAGAAGTCCAATAATATTAAGACTACAAACTTGGACTTGTTGACAGCAGACAAAATGTCGTCAGTAACTTTAAGTAATGCCGTTTCGCAACTGTATCCCCTTATAAAGTCAGATTGATGTTCGGGAAGAATACGTGATAAATCTAAGAAATTCTGAATTTGATTAAATAACACTTTTTCAAACACCTTAGACACTAAGGGTAAAATACTGATGGGTCTTAAGTCAGAATACGCTTTAGGAGAGGAAATTTTTGGAATCGGGCGCACGATTGACGTTTTCCATAGATGTGGAGAATCGCAACGTTCTATGCAAACATTTACTAAGTGTGTGACAACAGGTATAATACTTGTATAAATAATAATTCATTAATCATTTAATTATATAATCAAATTGATTAATCAATTAGTCTATGATCAATTAATTTTAAGATTTTATTTTTGTCGTCGCCATCTTGTATGGTGATAGACATGGCAATTTTCAAATTTTATTAGTTAAATTAATCAGTTATATTGTTATATTCAATCCCTTTAAGCCAGCATTATGGACTTAATTTGTTTGGTTTGTGATTATTTATGTTAATTTTACGTTAAGAGCGCCATGCCATACCTATAGCACGTGACCTTGCACATGACTAATTAATATGCAGCTCTAACCACACCGTCACGCTCCTACGTACGAAAACCATGCATCACTGGTTTTCTTTCTATCCCTAATGACGACCATTTAGCACTTACTTTTGGTTACCTTCGTTAGGTGGCGCCACCTCACAGTCGCTTGAAAGGAGAATTTCTTTTTTCCATTAATAATAATAAAATACTACCTTTACTATAGCATTATAAACACTTTCTATGATAGACTATGAATTAGAAATGACGAGTAAAAAAATTTCAGATAATTCTTTCAAAGCATTTGCCCATTATTTGCAAAATCCCATTACCTTCGATGTATAGTCCTCTTAAGTACGGCTATTTTGATATTCAATGCTGTAATCCACCGTCAAAAAAACCTTAAAGTTTGGATTCTAGTTTCACGCTTTTAAATGAGTATTTGAAGTTGTTCTTTAATCAATTTCAATATCAAAAAATGTGTTTTTTCAAAACTTAACTTTTCCGCACGGTAGCATCTGTTGAGACCCAGCAGTTTCCTTTTATTGTATTTACTTCTCATGTATCACTTCGCCTTTTATTGAGCGAAGTCTCTAATCGATGTGGCAATTAACTACATGGATATTCAATTTGATTTAGGAGATAATCGATCGATTTGCCTTTGGTAAAGGATGCTAATGTTAAAATTTCAGTAAGATCTGTCCATAATAATAATAATAATTGTCCCATTCAATGTTGAGTTATCGGACTAAAAACAACCCAGACAACGACAACACTTTTTTCTTTGATGAAAACATTAAACATTATTAATATTTACTTACCCATATATGACCGCGGAAAAGTAATATCATAGATAATATTAAAGTCACTAAATATAGAAAGTACCGCAATCCATTGGGGTCGTGTGTTAGAGAGAGAACGCATGATTTTTGCCCAAAAATGGCGGAAGTTACCAGATTCTAGTAACTTTAATGTTAGGGATTGTTCCACCTGTTTGGAGATATCTGTATATATTTTTATAAACAATGACAGTACTATGAAGTTAGGTTATAAAAAATTACAACTATTCAGATTTTATTTGTCAATTTTTTTAAGTTGGCAGCAAATTTGCCCAAAAATGGCGGATGATTGCGGTACTTTCTATACTACTTTACCACAGTAGGCGATATGAAACAAAAGCTGATCTAGAAACTAAACTGTGTTGACATTGTAGCTGGAAACATTTTAACAAAGAGTTTGGCCACGGCTTCCTATAATTACCAGGCTAAATTGTATGAAATTTGACAACACTGTTTCGTTGGCCTATGATTTTATGTCAGTGTCAGTGCAAATTTATGCAAAGTGAGTCTAATGATTTTAAAATTAATTTTAAATGCCTCCCAAACGTTGTGTGCCCAATTGCAATAGCACTTACGCTAGCGACATGAAAGAAAATAGTTATTTATTTATTTATTTATTTTGCCTTTATTTTTGAGTGGGCGGGGTTTCAGCCAAGGCTGCTCTACCAACCCAACCCACTATACATTTACAAATATCCATGCCCGAACCCGGATTCGAACCAGGGACCCTAGCACCACAGTCCAGCTTCAACTGAACTGCGCCACACGGGCCGGCAGTTATGTGACTGGGATTCAAGCTTCCGAAGGACCAGGAAAACACAAGTTCAACTCGGACCGATCCCTTAGAAAGAAGACAGAAAATTGCAAAAAAATTCAAAGAAAAGCAGGATATTTGGCTGCAAAAAGGTTTTATAAAAAGTTAGACGGAATTTTTTAGTGGTGCCATTGATTTGCAAAGTAGTTTCATCAAGTGTAACAGTTGATACAGAATTGAGGGTTTGGATGTGTTTGAACAATTAGACGCTTACAGAGTCACAGTGGTCATGAGTAAATCAAAGTCAAGAGTTAAATCGGTGGTCTCAGAGAATATATTAGGTAACTAGGTATGTGGATTGTCACGATTCACATCTACCTTCTCGCTAAAAGTTTATGAAATTATGAAAATAAGTGATATATCTCATTTTGTGAGTAATGCAAGTAATATAGGTACCTACTTTTGGAAAATTTAAGTGAAAACAAATCGATTTCTTGTTGGAACAATTAACACGTTCGCTGCCAGAGTATTTCCATAAAACTGTTCAAAAAAACCCAATACAGTTTTATCATTTTTTGCGTAGAATTAAGTATAAATAATGAAAAGATATTGTCCAAATATGTTTTCAAAACTCATTTTTCAAAAAAATGAGACTACGAATAATTTCGTAGTTGGTACCCGTGATAGAAATTCTTTTTGAAGAACCAACTACGAGATAACTCGTATGAACCAATTTGCGCTTTTCATTGAGATTTATTTACCTATACCCACGCACGCGTATGTGCAATACTACAATTACGTGGACGGTGCAGTTTGTTGGTTATTTATGGAGTTGAGCAAACGTGTTTGTGAATAGTGGATCTGAACAATAGTTTCTCAGTATATTTGCGTAAAAGTTTATTGGTTAACCATTTAGTATGTCAAACAAAAGAAAACTAACAGAAGATCAGTTGAGAGAAATTGCAAACTATGATGAGGCGGAATGGGCAGGTTTTATTTCTCAAGATGGCGGTTCTGGTGAAGAATCCGATAATTCAAGCAACAGTGAGGTGTCCGATGAAATAGTGGACGATGAAAATAACCCCAGTGATGACGTTTCGATTTCATCTTACTCGCTAGTACAAGATGTCAACGTAGATCAACTATTAGAAGATGATGAATGGACAGACATCGCTGAAGACCCCCCTACTTTTCCATTTTCCGAACAAGTGGGACTAAAAATTGATTTCACAGACTGTAATATTCAAATTCTTGTGGACTTGTTTTTTAGTGATGAATTCTTGAAGTTACTAGTGGAACAAACGAACATTTATGCCCGCCAAGAAATAGGTAAAACACGTACGCGCAAGTCGTCTAGAATGTTATCATGGAAGGACACCGATATTATAGAAATGAAAAATTTTCTTGGACTTCTTTTGCACATGGGTCCATGTTCTCTTCCACAAATTTCATCATATTGGAGCACAAGCGTCTTTTACAACATTCCCTTTTGGAGACAAGTTATGAGCCGAAACAGATTTCAAGCTTTATTGAGATTTCTGCACTGTTCCGACAATTCAATTCCATCTGATGATAGACTATATAAAGTTCGACCTATTTTGACTCATTTCAATAAGGTTATGCGCAATAACTATACACCAGGCAAAAACATCTGCATTGATGAGTCGATGATGTTGTGGCGAGGAAGACTATTCTTTCGGCAATACATCAAAAATAAAAAACACAAATACGGCGTCAAGCTATACAAATTATGCGAGTCTAATGGTTTAGTTCAAAAGATAAAAATTTACTGTGGCAAATCTGATATTCAAGACAAAAATGTTGGTCATTCAACTGGGGTAGTGTTACATCTTATGAAAGATTATCTCAATAAAGGACACGTTTTACACATGGATAACTTTTATAACTCAGTGAGACTTACTACTTTACTTTCGGAAATGAAAACATACCTTTGTGGCACCCTAAGAAGCAACAGAAAGGGAAATCCAAAAGTTGTCATCGCTGAAAAGTTGAAAAGAGGAGAGCTTACATGGAAGCGCAAAGGAACAGTGGTAGTTTGTAAATGGAAGGACAAGAGAGATGTTCTTGTTATTTCAAACAAACACAAAGTCGACATGGAGCTTGTGCGCAACCGCAATGGAAAAACTTCTCTGAAGCCGAATATAGTTAGCGATTACAATAATGGGATGTCTGGTGTAGATCGATCAGATCAAATGCTTTCTTATTATTCCGCCCTGAGAAAGACAATAAGATGGCACAAGAAAGTTGCTTTACATATATTTGAAATATATATTCACAACGCATACATAATCTATCGGAACGCAACTTCTTCAAAAATTACCTCTCTACAATTCAGAGAAAAGGTTGTTGAGAGTTTGCTTGGCGAAAATATGCCTAAGCCGAATAAAAAGCCCAATCCTGGATCATTTCATTATTTGGAGAGTTTACCCCCAACTGAAAAGAAAAACCGGCCATCAAAACCTTGCAGAGTGTGCACCGCCAACAAAAAACGTCGTGAGACACGTTACTTCTGTCCAGTGTGTGAAGAAAAACCTGCTCTTTGCGTGGAAAATTGTTTTAAAGCTTATCACACGTAAGATCTGTAAATTTATATTATAACAGAATTGGCTCATTTTTTTTGCGTTTTCGAGAATAAAGTTCAGTTTACAGCGACCAGTACTTATTTTTAATTCTTGTCCCATAGACCGCCATACCTTATACTACACGCATTTGCTACGAATAAGAACGTAGACGGCTTCTATAGGCAGCGCTGCAAAATACGTATAATTCCGTAGTTGGTACCTAGGACAGACTACCAACTACGTATTATTTCGTAGTTGGCAGCCAACGTGTTAAAAA